TATTGGCGGAAAGACCCCCCAAGACAAACGTCCTTGCTCTCCACCAACCACGGTTACGACGCCGAGGTCGGCACGGCACCTTTGTCACAAAGCAGCGCAAACACACACACCACTCACAAGCTGCACGTCCGTGTGTGTACACATGTGATCACCTGTAGGTGGGGGCTGGCGTGGTCCATGAGAGCCTTGCATTCCTTGTCGGTGGCGAAGTTGTCCACAAGGTAAATCTTGGCCGCTGGGTCATCCAGGAACACCTGCCGAAAAAAACCCAGCAACAGACAACACATGGGAGTGCTGTGAGCGAGTGCTTCGGATGCGCAGAGTCTTGGGTCTGTATTTTCGCAGACAAGCAAACGGCCGTCTACAGGAAAGATGAACAAGCACAAGAGATCCCGTCACTAAAACCAAACCGCTCGACCGACCGAACCGCAACATGGAAGTCGAGCTCCCATCTGGGTAACAAAGCAAATACAGCAGTAGATACATCCGACACATTACGACAAGGCACCTATAAAAGAAACGATTCAGTAGATGCAGCAAGAGCTTGGACTCAGCAATAGCGGCGAGGGTGTCCAACCCAGAACTTTTTCACCCACATTTTCTCTACATACTCTACATTTCCCTTGTCTCTGTCCTCCTGCTCCTGCTACGTACTATCTACATTGCACAATCCTCGTACCCAACGTAATATACACACCCCTCTCCCCCGCTGGTTGGGCACAGCAAACGAAAAGGATGGCGCCAAGCTTCTGGTTCATCCTCGTGAAACGTAAGCCTGGGCCTCGCTCCGTCCCGGCAGTGTAGGAATGCGAGGTCTACCGACTACGGCACGCGTCAACATAACTACACCCCCTGGGCCAGCACAGCAAACGCAAGGATGATGTCCAGCTTCTGGTTCATCCTCGTGCAACGTACACTGTGAAAACCCTGCGTCATACCCCTCCGCCCCGGCGTTGTAGGGATGAGAGGTCTATGGCCTACCGACTAGGACTGCCTTCGAGAGAAATTGAGGCTCATGAGGAAAACAGAACAGGGAGTGGGGTACGCAACCTCTACCCCTAACCCAACTTCCCCGAGTGCATGTACCATCATCCAACATGTTCACTGTAGCGAGAAGCACTGCCAAGGCTTCTATCCGACTACGGCATGCGTTTACATGAGTACCCCCCCCCCCCCCCCCCCCCCTTGCCCCT